CTGTGGAAAGCGTAGGACCATAAAATGTTCATCCAATCAAAATGTTTGGTCCGAACATTACGACATTACTGCCTGTCAAATATGTATTTGCATACCTCTGTGCACCCTGTTTGCACATACATGATACGTCATCAGCACGTTCCAGTGAGAATGAAAGGCGCTATTATTGTAATATTATGTGCTTTAAACACTAATAAAATAGATAACATCAGAAATACAATAACAAACTCAGAGGACCTCAGATGATGCCAACCCTGAAACAACATACAGAACTACCACATTTTGCTATAAGTTTGATTGCATCATATAATAATTGCTGTTAATAGTGTTCATTGTCTGTTTGATTACGTCTTTACTTGATTTTTCTGTACATTTCTGCCATATATACATTAACTGACAGTCACCACTGATAAGCTACCACTAAATATTGTAGAAACTTAATTTGCTGTAAATTTGCTTTGCAACATTTTGTATCGTGAAAAGCGTTATACAAATAAACTTGAATTGAATTGAATTGCTTTGTACTGTAATGATTTCTCATGGTGAATGAGACATGAGGTAATCTGACAGTGTTGCATTCAATCCTCCACCAACGCCGTCTCTCATTGTAGCAGGTTAGTCTCCTGCTAGTATCGCTAGCCTTTCCATAATCACCTACTCTACCTTGAACTGTATTTTTAAATCAAATAGATGCAGTCATGGATCGCGGAATGAACCCAAAGTGTGTTGGGTGGAGGCCCGTTGTGGGGTGGGGGTGGGTTTGCTTCAATTCTGAAAACAAAACATCCCACAACCAATCAAAATAATATGTAAGCTAATTTACTTGAGTTTCTGACAAAATGTTTTATTTAATGTTATAAATGAGTCTATTTATAAATGTCCAAAATGTTATAAATGAGAATCTTTTAAAATTAAGATTATGTATTAATTTAAATGAAATCATTATGTAAAAAATCTTTTGAAATAAACGAAAGACTTGTTTCGTCCAAAGTTTTTGAACGAACCTCTTGAATGAATGATTCAGACATCAAATACATTTTAACAGTCACTGGTCGCCACTTAATGTAACATAATATTTGAAGTGTAACATTTCTTTCAAAGGTCAATTACTCATTTTGATAGCAACTGCCGCAACATCAGAGTCTATGTCCGGACTATAAAATGTTATCCCAATACTTTCATTATTATTTAATGTTTGCAATACAGAAATGAAGCTTACTGTGTGGACTGTTTCAAACATAAAGCTTACATGATGAGCTGCTCTCTCTGGATCAGCGGCTGCGCAAAAGTAGGTTTAAATATTCCGATGTGATTGCGATTTCAAAGGTTTAATTGACATAGCAGAATTGTCATTTAGGAATAAGATTGTGTGTGTTTGAATCAAGATTGCGATCTTTTAATGATTTCTCATGCGTACATATTGAATTATTATTATTATTATTATTATTATTATATAGCAGCCTATGTATTTTTGTAGCCTATGTGATATTTGTACCAGACCTCAAAAGTAACCCAGCAAGAAAACCAGTCTCCTCTTGGCTTATATTGAAATCCTCTGACATTCTTCTTTACAAATCCTCGTTTTGTACTTCTAATAAGTGACCGTTGTTTTGTTTTGATCTCTCCCCTGCGCTTCTGCGTTCGTCACTTCTGAGCGGCGCATGCGCAATGCCGACCTCATACGTCATCCTCCCGGAGCTGCTTCCGTGTACAACAGTGAGTGCAAGCTAGATTAAATTGATTATTACGTTTTAAATATGGTTATTTTTCTTACAAAAACGCATCGATTCGCTACAGGAGGACTTTGTTCATCCCCCGGAGCCGTGTGAGACACTTTTTATTACGGATGGGCGCTTTTTATTTCACTTCTTTTGGACTGATGCACTGCAACACCCGCTGACTGCCATTAAACAGCTTGAAAGATCAAAGACAAATTTTAATATAACTCCGACTGGATTCGTCTGAAAGAAGAAAGTCATATACATCTAGGATGACTTGAGGGTGAGTAATTTATGGGCTAATTTTCATTTTTGGGTGAACTAACCATTTAATGAACATAAGAGACTTTCAAAACCATGTATGTATTTACTAGATAGAAAAGTAGCTAACTGGGCTTTGGAGAAGTACAATAATCTATGCTTTCATTTAGACTAAAAAGAAAAGAGTTTCACTCTCTCTCTCACACACAAGCTCTTAAATTTTGTCTGTGGAGCATCAATCACCCCTGGTTTCTCTTTATGTGACCGAGCCCCTTGTACAGACTGATGTGCTGAAATGCATCCAACTTTCCTACTCCTCACATCCTTCCATCTCTCTCTCTTCATTCCACTTCCTTCCATCCTTATCTTCTTCCTGTTTAACTTTTCTTCCACCTGCTACACTCTTCTCTGGTTCTCTTTAATGTATACAACTTTAGTTTAAGTTCAAACCGTTCTCAATTTTAATAAACAATGTTCTAAAACTCAAAAACACTGCATTCAGTCCCTCTAATTTGACTTTCACAAGTGCAATATTTAGGTAACTAAAAGATTAAAAAACTCAACCACATTTTAACACCCAACAGCATGTTCTCATTACCCATAACACACTGTGCCTTCAGCGTGCTCGGAAGCCCCTATCTCTTATAGTGTTAGTCAAGCAGCCACTCAAATCGAGAGCAGATCCTAGACGTGATTACGTTTCGGAGCCTAATCCATGTTTTAACACTGCTGTTATCGCCCTCCACAGAGAGCTTCTCATGGGATCACATCTCAACAAACAACCTCGCATTCATTAAGCCCAAAATTCAACACCGCAACAACATAAAAAAAGCACCAAAGAGGAACAACAATGTACTTTCTCAAACTGCCAAAAACACATAATCGCTAACAGAATCGCAATCTTCGCCTCCGCATTCTTGTTAATCCAAAAAAACAACACGCAGCTTAAGATGTTAATCACATGTTTAATAAGGCCGAGGGTGTGACGGAGGGGCAGAATCAAACTGAGGTGAAATGTAGAGATGAGGGGAAGGACAGACGAACAAACGAAAAGGTGAAAATGATGGTTCTGAGGAGCCTTTTTAATAGGCCAGTTTTTCTGTGCGAGAGCGCCGCTGTTTTGATACTCAGACTCTCATAAATCACAGTGACCCAAAACAATGACTGATCTTCCTGAATCTCTCATGGCAGCATTTGGCTTTCTTAACCTGTGTCTGCTGCTAACTTTGGCAAATGGAACGAAAGGAGTGAAAGACAAAAAAAAAGAGAAAAAAGAGAAAGCAGGGCCGTCCGTTTTCAAGCACGACGAGATGCGTCTGAAATAGAAGCGCGTTGTTATTCCAGAGCAACAAAGAGTTTGGCTGTTTTTATACGACCTCTCCTCGATCACTGTTCACTCCATCACCTACTCAGAAAAAGCCTGAAAGACACCCAGAGGAAAACTGTATTCCTCTGAGGTTGCTGTTTCAAAGTGAAATGTTTCAGTTTAGGGTAAAGTGTGTAATTTCTGTGCTACTAACATCAGTATTTCATAAATCATGATTGTTTTCAAACAGATTTTTCCGGACAAAGAAAGTAGCGCCGCCCCAAACTCACGCCATTGGTTGAGCCACTGTTGCTATACCAAAAAACAACAGATCTGTTGAAATCTAATATAAAGCTATGAATATATATATTATTGCTTTCTCCAGTTAAAAATTCATATCGTCTGACTCAAGCACCTTTTTCTAATCAAAAACACAGTGTTTTTATAGATTATGGACTTGTATTTTAATTAAAGACTTTGCTTCTAGCTAAATTAGGACTTTTATTTAGATTATGGACTTAAAATATGAGTCCTCTATCTATATCATTGCTTTCTCCAGAAAAATGTATCTCGTCTGAATCAGGAGAGAAATATGCACAGATATTTATTGTATTTTTTATTTTGGCCAGATGCAACAGTTTAAAGTTAAAATGCAGTAATGATTAAGGCTGAGTAAATTCTCACCATATTTTTTGTTGAACTATTTCTTTAATGTAAACAGACCTCAGAACACTTGTTCTTCAAGTACTATGAGAAATGTTTGAGCTCATATTGAAATCTGGCTTTTGCAACTGTTTCCATCTGGTCTAGGAGACACACTTGTGTTATCAAAGAGATCTTATTTGTGATTTTCTGTCCTTTATAGGCAGACACAAACATTTTAGAAGCAATTTTGTTAACCAAGTCTGGTGCACAGATATTGGGGGTTTAAAAAGAAGTTAATTTGTTGCAACATTTATATAAAATTACCTCTAAAATCTATATTAGACAAAAGGACAGATGCAAGCCAGGTAGGGTGTTTGTTTATAATGTATGTAAATATTCCTCTGGCTGTGTTTATGTACAAGTTATAGATTTACAGATTCTATTTGAACCCAGCCCTGTGATGTCACGTAAACTGTCCGTTGTCTTAACACGTCAATCCTTTTTCCAACTGTTTCTCTTTGTCTCGTCTTTGATAAGGCTCTCTCAGCGAGTTCTCTTTAGTTTTCTCTCATCCATCTCTTTTTTGAACTTCTGCGTCTTTCTCTGCCTTCTTTTAAACATGAAAGCTGCCTCTCCCTTCCCACCTGCCAGTCTCTCATACTTTCCGACTGAACATCCATTTTTCTTTTTGCTTCTTCACTGTTTTATATGCAGGTCTCTCTTCTCACCTTCTCTCTCACTTCACCTCTACCTCATTCACCTCTTTCGCTTCATTCCACATTTTCCTTTTCCCTTCCATTCTAGCTCCATGACAGGTTTGCCCATCTTAAAATTCTCAGTCAATACACATTGTGCATGCACACGAACAAAGCCATTACTAATGGGAGGAAAGGTGGGGATGATTTCAGAGCCCCACAGATACAGTATAACGAGATCATGACAATTACAGTAGGATTGACCTGGTATAATTAATTCAATATTTTTTCATGATTTTAACAAGGGCCAAATAGTGATAGCAAGTCGACTGGGTCTGAGCATCTCCAAAATGTTAAGTCTTGCAGAATACCTACCAAAAGTGGTGCAAAAAAGGACAACCGGTCAACTGGAATTAGAATCATGAGTGCCCGAGTCTCATCGTTTCTTGTGGGAAGCGAAGGCTAGCACATTTAGTCTGATCACACAGATGAATTATAGCTAAAGGTTTGAGGAACATGAGCTCAAGGTGTTGCCTTAGCTTCCAAATTCCCCAGATCTCAAACCGATTGAGCATCTATGGCAGGGGTGGCGAACTCCGGTCCTGGAGAGCCGCAGCCCTGCAGAGTTCAGCTCTAACCCTAATTAAAACTGACCTGCCTGTAGCTTCCTAGTAACCCTTCAGACCTTGATTAGCTTGTTCAGGTGTGTTTGATTAGGGTTGAAGCAAAACTCTGCAGGGCTGCGGCTCTCCAGGACCGACGTTCGCCACCCCTGATCTATGGGATATGCTGGACCAACAAATCCAATCCACGGAGGCCCCACATCACAACTTGCAGGACTTAAAGGATTTGCTGCTAATGTCTTGGTGCCAGATAACACAGCACATGTTCAGAGCTCTTGTGCAGTCCATGCCTTGACGCATCAAACCTATTTTGGCAGCACGAGGGGGACATGTATGATATTAGGTTAAGTGGTTTTAATGTTGTGGCTGATCAGTGCAAATCGCATAAGCTGGATGAAAAACACAACTTGTGTTTTGATTCAACAATTGTTTTGTGTTTTGTTTCAACAATTTGATTGGCTAGCTGTATGTAACTTCCAGAAGTTGAGGTTCACCACTCAATCTGGAAACAATGTCATTGTTGTTTGTCATTGATTGTCACTGATTGTCACAAAACACCTCTTGAATTTTTTTTCTTTCCAAACTTTCACACATTTCAAATACTGTGCCACACTGCTTATATACACCCAGTATCCATTGTGACAGTGAGTTATGGATGAGCCAGCACCACTCACATTTTCTAAGTCTAGTTTATTTTTTATTATTACCAACACTAGACTGATGTGAGAAAGCACAGTGGGTAATATGATTCACTCAGCACTGAACAGCTCACAAAGTAAATTCACAGATATCGCTATAAACGCGAACCATCCTCTCTCTCGCTCTGAGTAATAATGAGGGTCACATTCAGCAATGAAACGTTGTAGAAGTTTGCAGATAAGAGTCTGGAGTTGCATTGCTGTATTTGAGATAAAGCAGTAGTGATCTGTTTGATCTAAAGCGAGCCTGTAATGTGAAATGAGCATCTATCTATTCTGTAGCAGTCGCAGTCCACCCAACTGAACGTGCGCTATGGCAGCAAGTGTGCTGCATAACTGAATAAAGCATATCTACCTATTCTTATACACAGACAAGCGCAAAACTATCATACACAGGCCCTGCTCTCTGTGGAGATGAGAAAATAGGGAAATCTGAAAAAGAAAAGAATAAATCACATCCAAACACAGTTTAGAGCAGCTCTGGAGCACATTGATAATTCATACACAAAAGGAAGCTCAGATACAATACAACCTCACTGTATGCCATAAACATCAATAGATAGCCAAAGAGGAAAGGGCATGACCCATAGCAGCTTAAGGCTGTTAAAATCATGAATATTCCCTGAAATTTCATAAAAATATATTTATGAAAAAAATATTGCTGTGTTTCTCTCAGACAACGAGACTGAATGGAAAGCAAAGAGAAACATTTTAACAAGCAAAATTACATGCTTTCAGTAACACAATTTATCGCTTCATACCGAAACCGCTATGTGACACAAGAACATATCTGATGTTTAACATACAGTTATGTGGAGTGGGATTCTGGGGAAAAATATTGAGTTATCTACAATGTGTCTCCTCTATGAGTTTCAGAATTGAGCTTTCAAACACACCAAGATCCCAAAGCCAAGATACTAGAGTCTCAAAAATATATATCTTTATAGCTTTAAAATCTTACTGTATGTCTCCTAATTTTAGAAGAACCATCTGAAACTGAGTTGAGACATTATTGAGAAGCCTTCTGAGATATAAGAGAGGAACTTCTCAACAATAAAATGTTCTTTTCCACTGGAGACTTGCCAAAAGCAACATGTTCTCATTCCATATGGTTAAAGCATCATCTCTTTAGAGTTATATTTAGTTTGAGGCAGACAGTAGTGTCCGGTCTGAGTATCCTTGGTGATGTTTGTGTGAGTACTGGCTGATTCCCTGATAAAAGCGTTATTGAACTTTAGCCCAGTGTAGATTAGATTAAATCTCTCCCTAATTATCTCAATGATTGCACTCAACTGCCAACACAGCTTTTTCTGTTTTAGCACCTTGTCTGTGTGCACAGTATTTGGAAATAACAGATAAAACACAAAGAATGCAAAGATGACATTGTACAAAAATGCCCACCCACTCCAGGATTTTTCTTAGAGGTCCCATCCGCTCTTTTTCACTCGGTCTTCAAAGAGTGCTGTTAAATAAGAGAAGAGCCATGTGCCTTTGCCTTACTTTAAATTCCCTTAATTAAATTATACTCTTATTTAGGATCTGTCAATTAAGAACAAGTAATTATAAAGTTAATAAATGGAAAATTAAATTCAAAATAGCGTTTTCTAAAGTCATTTTTTGTGAAGTTCATTTAATAGATTATTTGTCTGCCCAAATAATGTAATGTCTTTGAATTATCTGGGGCCTTTTTTCAGTAAATACTGATGTTATTTTTTTGTGATTCATTTAATTAACGAATCACATAATTTAAGATTATGTGCCATTCATCAGAAATGAATTGAAATAGCAAACAGGATGCATATAAGGAAGCAGAATTGAAATGAAAGAAAGACAAAACAATAGAACAACTGATAGAACTACAGATATATAGACAGAACAATGGATCGATGGATAAAATGTCAGGGTGACAGATGGATAGATAAAACAACAGGACAACGATAGAACTACACATATATAGACAGATCAATGGATGGATGGACAGACAAACCTACAGATGGATGATGGATGGACAGATAGAACAACAGACGGATAAGACAGACAGACAGATAGACGGATGGATGGATGGATGGATGGATGGATAGATAGATAGATAGATAGATAGATAGATAGATAGATAGATGGATCAAATAAATTATTTTTCTTTCTCCACAATCAGGAAAAAATTTGTAGATTCCATGTGAGCCTACTTATACCTGCAGATAATAACTCAGTACATTAACACCATTAACACCATAGGAATAAAAACTTCTTGTTAGTGTGTCCAGAAATAAAGAGAGACATCCAAATGTGGTGTGTTCTGTTCTTACCTGCCCTACAGCATATCTGCGTGTTTATTTTACAGCTCCCCTGAATTTAAGGGTCCGACCCCCCAGATGGCTGTGACATGCTGAGCCTATAATTATTAATGCTCTGGTTGACGTGGGGCTTGTGTTGCATTGTTAATACACCTTGTAAGAACACACACACCGCATGTGGTTCACTACATCATACCAATAAACATCCAATTATATTCAATCACCCCTAAGAGACTTTCATGCACAATGGCTATAAACAACAAAATACGTCGTGAACAACATAAGAACATCCTGTCTGTGTATGTCTGCTTGTGTTCAACGTGATTGTCAGTTTCTCCCAGTAGGCAAGTAATCAAATAAACAGGCTCTTAACAACAACGCGGAGAACTCACAAAAACTCACTCACTCACTCTCTCTCTCTCTCACATACACACTCACATTAACAACTCTCAACAGAGAGAGAGAGAGAGAGAGAGAGAGATCGTCAGCAATGTTTTCTCTATCCCTCTTGCTGTCTAAACAGATGCTGCGTGTTCGTTGATAATTTAGAGAGAGATAAATAGTGTTATGTTAGACAGGCTCCGAGTGTGTGTGTGTATGCGTGTCTCTTTGGCCCTTTGCTAATTTGTCTTTATGGTCTGGACGGCAGAGATAACAGCAGACTGAGCTGTTTAAATGTATTAACTGACCTGAGCGCTGAGAACAGACAGATCGCATCCTTTCACTCGTTCAACTGAACTGCGGCTGTATTGCGTGACTGGACATGTCAGGTTCTCTGCATAGAACCTCTTCTTTGAAGAAACAGATTTGGAGAAATTTAGCATTACATCACTTGGTCACCAATGGATCCTCTGCAGTCAATGGGTGCCGTCAGAATGAGAGTCCAAACAGCTGCTAAAACATCACAATAATTCACAAGTAATCCACATGACTCCATTCGATATATCAATGTCTTGTAAAGTAAAAAGAGCTTTTCAATTTAGATGATGTTACTGTAATTGTTGTACTGGAGCCATGTGGATTACTTGTGAATTACTGTGATGTTTTTATCAGCTATTTAAACTCTCATTCTGACGGCACCCATTCACTACATTCATTGGTGAGCAAGTGACATAATACTGAATGTCTCCAAATCTGTTCTGATGAAGAAATACACACATCTACATGTAAATTTTCAGCTAATTTTAATTTCTTTAATCTCTCATGTTGGTTAGACCAAGATACTATTACCACAGAGCAGCGGAGCATCTGCAGTGGCCTCAAACGTACTTGGATACTTAAGGAATTATGAATTGTTAGGTAAACAGCATTTTTTTGCATATCATTAATTATTAACTCATTACATTTTTGGTGAGTTGCACCACATGACATGTTACAGCCTCAAGTAACCGACTTGTCATGGAAAAGTCTAAATAACTGATATTCTATGATACTAATTGACTGCAAGTCTGAGAGACTTCGAAAGTAAAAATAACTGACTTCATGCATGCACTAAAATTAACCTTGGGTACAGTTGGTTAAAACTAATTGCACATATGCCACTTGGTCTCATATATCTAAAGGTTATCCAAAGAAACAAAATTAATATACAACCACAGTTTACGTGTTCAAAAATGTTTGGAGCCCACTGTACATCAAATAGAGCATACATCCATGCCTTAGCTTGGATTATCTGAGCTCTAAGAACATCTGTATACAGTACAGTGTGTGTGTGTATGTGTGTGAGAGAGTGGTAAGGGGAACATGAACATTGTGTTAATTGGTTAGGGTCGAGTAGGTCTGAACTGTTGTTTTGAAGAAAAAAATCTCAGAGCTTTTCCAAGGCCGTGAGCAACTACAAGTGTGAAAAGAGTTCTTCTATCAACAGACACCTCAAGGACATAATTCTCTGGTTATTATTTAAAAAATTCATAACCAACATGAATAACCA